TCGCTTAGAAGAGCCCATTCTCGTAAATGACTGACCATCTCTACTTACAATCACTTTTACGAACTAACGGGATGATTGCTTACAGCGATGATGATGATAATAATAATAATATACATTTAAATAGCGCCTTTCTCTTAGTGGTCCAAAGCGCTTTACAATCAGTTCTAATGGTAATAAACCTAATAAAATATTACAATGACTTATTTGTTAAAAAAATGAATAAAATAATAATAATAATAACAATAAATAAAATAAAATTACAGCTGAAAAGCACGCTTAAAAAGAAATGTTTTTGCATTTTTTTCATCTCTTTCCTGAATCCCCTTTTTGTCTCCAAATTACATACGTTAAAAAAGGAATAATTGCTTTGAAAACTAATAAATACAAAGTGTAGATTGGCCCTTTTCAAGTGATATTTTGAATTTACGAGTGTTTTACGGCCATTACAAGAAAGAAATAGCTTTTCGTACCTCAGTTTGACAAAGCGGAGGGGGAAAGGAAGAAAAAACGAGGAGGGAGAGAGAAACGAGGAGGAGGAGGATTTCTTCCCCCTCTCTCCCAGCCCCGAACCTCCTCGAATGTTTTTTCTGCTCACTCTTTGCGCTCCCCCCGCTATATCTAAAGTTAAACCGATCAAATTATTTCTTCAAGACAAAATAAATGTAAAGAGCTTCAGCATAAGCACTAAGTCATGTGTACTTTTCTGGCATCCGGTTAAAACAGTGGATCTTCTGTCCGCTCGTCTCTTGATCATGATTACTTGACAGTTCCAATTAAACAATCATTACCTACCGTCATTCTATAGTTTGCTTTCATACTAGGAGACACTAGTGAACGCTCACCTGTTTGACTTCGCATTTGCCGCTAGAACTTACGACTTCCTGAATTCCCGACAGACAGGACAGAAAATTCCGCATCCCCTGCCCAAATTCTGGTGAATCCCGCTTCCCTAGTAGAAGTGAAATCCCGTTTCCCGTCAAGATATTTTGCGTTTTTCCCGAATCCCGCACCGTATTTTGGTCAGTTCCCGAATCCCACAAATACCCTTCCAGACCCTAAGTTATGGTGAGATTACCCGTCGTTTTTAAGTTGTACTTGTGGACCTTTTAATGGTGTACCCGCACCCACGCAGACGTTCTGAGCGCGTGACGAAGCGTCTGGGTGGGAGGCTCACCCGAAAAGTAACGAGAAACACGACTAGAAATAAATGTCGCCGTTCGAAGGCTTGTTTGTCTAGTAAAAGTGATAACAATTAAAATGAAACCTCTCTCTCTTTGGCCGTTCTCTTTAGCGGAATTTGTACCTTAGCCACTTTTAGGACTGACAGGGATGAAATTTATGAATGATTACACAGTCATCACAGCACACAAATAATTGCAAACTGAATGATGATTTGGCAGTGTTCCAAACATGAAAAATGTTCCGTATTGATCGTGGACAACGATTGACCCACTGCGATCGACGTATTATTCAGGCTATGGGATGTTAACAACCCCTTTATGCACGTATTGGTAGCGAAAGAGCGACCATAAGCGGTCATGATAATCCCGTTTTCAATAATCTCGCAGTAAGGACAGTGTATAAAGGAGGTGTATTCACGGCAAATGTTGTGTGGTGAACATTATAACAGTTTCGACGAAGAAGAAATTCAGTACAAATGAATTCTTTTGTTCACCTCAAATTCTACACCACGCATCGAACAGGACCCAAGACAGTGGCGACAATTACGTATGCCGAGGCCATTAAACGTCGGACCAAACACGACGATATGTTAAAACTCTTCAGACGGACTTTAACCGAGTAGATCTATTTAACGGCCAGCACATGAAAAAACGTCCTATTGTGCCAAACTATCACAAAAGAATTTGCCTGGATTAAGTTGAAGCTATGTTAAGCTGAATATCCAACGCAAAATTACTCACCTTGCCCAAAAGAATCCAAGGAAATTCGATTTAATAAAACGCGAGATAGTACTGTACGACGACAATGTGATGAAAAAGGGGAACTGCAGAAAATGAAAGTGATCTGATGGAAATTGCCATCACATGAGCAATATAATACAGACGGTCACGCTATTTTAGACAGTCACGCTATTTGCTGAAAGTAAAGATCCCCTTCGGAAGGGGGAGAGGGGGGTTTGCTCCACCCCGAGGTCCAACTCCTTACCCTTTTATATACTATTTTTTCACGAAAAAGGTACCCTTTTAGTACACCTTCTATTGACAAATGGTACCCCTTTCACATACCCTGTTTAGAACTTTGCATCCCTTTTACTGCTGTAAATGCATCGTCTTTTAAATAGGAATCAATCACAAAAATAGAACGCTTTCACGACTTAATGAAGCCATAAGTTTCATCTGTCAGCCCTTTTGGGCCCTTTAACAGACAGAAATGACAGATTTCCCTACCTTCTACAATTCAACTAGTGAAATTCCTATCCTTTCATATACCTGACGACTGAGGGGAGAATCCCCCGGGTACGGAGCCGTGGAGGGAGGTAACTCCGTAAGAAAATTAAAGGAAGCATATGCTCCTCGCAAAACAAAAATTAAACCTCTAAAGGAGACCACTCTTTGCTTGGCTCCTAAAGGAGACAGAATGCAATACCTTTGTAGGTAAAAAATAAATAATGTGGGCTTACGGTCATGAACACCCTAAGTGAAACTAGAGTCTCCGGAGTCCCCGGTAGGGAGGGGGTGGGGGGTATTTGCGCATGCCTAAACAGGGTGGAGATGAGTCGCAATTAACAAAAAACGGCCAGTTTTTTCAAGTAGAAGCTGTTCATATCTCTGTCCTAGAGTACACAGAAGGAGGATAGTAAGTTCTCTATAACAGTGACCCTGTAGTCAACACTTGATGAATAAAAGGACTAACTCCATGAGCAAATTCAGTTTGGATTTATACATTTTGAACATAGGGCATGGGTTCATTAACATCGAGTGAACACATTAATAAGAAACGTATTTCATATTAATGTAGTGTTGATTAAAAACATGCGCCAAGCCTTTTGCTAAAATCCCTTGAAAGTCATCTTATCTCATCTACATAAAGGTGTTTCAGTTTTAACCCCACCTCTCAGTCCTCCTGCCTGATAAACAAAACAAACATAACGGCCATTCAAGACCTCCATACTTCATATGTTTATAGCAATTTTCCATAACCATACGCTACGAGCAGTCTCTCTTTTTTCTTGGTGCATCGAGCAAAACGCGCGAGACACGCAAACGACCACGCGCGTGACTGAAGGCGCGAGACGGGAGAGGCACGAAAAAAGAGAAGCTGTTGTCTCCTTTTTCTTCTCGGGTCTCGCGTCTCGCGGCCGCTCGACGCTCGCGCGCACAAACTCCCTTCACATGAAATCTGAAGAAAAGAGAGACTGATCGCAGTCTACCATAACCAGGTAGTGTGGAAATATCTTTGTACTTCACAATAAAGGTTAATGCCTCAGATAAATTTCTACATGACGGAAACTAAATATTTATTGTAGCAAGTTTTTGGGCGTGAACCAATGCTGTTCTTTATTTGCAGCTTTCCGTGTGTTTCTCAACATAACGTCTTTTATTCTCTTTCAATATCGTCTCCGTCAAAGTCAATTATGAAATACCTGTTCGGAAGTCTATCAACTACAGAATCTAAATGGCGATTTACTTTTCCTGCCATCTTTTCACGCACGCTTACATTCGTAAAACGATAAACAAAACCTTTATACACATTATCCACGATGAACAATATCTTTCACGACATACATCAAAAGAGTTTCTTTTTAATTGAGTATGGGATACCAGTTCTCTTCAATAACACTTCTCTAATCTCTCGTCATGAATTAAATCGCTTAGTCTCGTAACCCGTTTATAGGGAAATAGTAATATTACATTCCGCGTCTCCCTCTCCAATTCATTCTGCAAAATTCAGTATCTCAGCCTAAGAATCAGCCAGATCACAGATCCCAAATAACTTATTGAGAATCCTCCAACTCTCCTGCGTATCAGTCGCTTCCGTTTCCTTTTAGCTGAGTGGGTGGGTAAATCACACCTGAAGCGCGAGGGTATGGGGAGCATAAAAAGGAACAAATAAAATAGGAAAAAGGGGGAGGGTCGGGGAAGAAGACGAATCACCTTGTTTGGCTAAAAGGAGACAGAAGCGACTGCTACGCAACCTAGTATTGACAGTTAAGATAATTTATAGGATTAAACAATATGATTTTTGTGCCGATCCTCAGCTCGACTGCTTACAAGATGTTTGTTTACCTATGCCAACTCACTACGAATTCTTTCTGCATACTTATGATCTTCACCGAAAATTTGTTTCCTAATCATCAGTGCTTTTTGGTGAAGTTCTTTGGCTTGATTGTTTTCTTTCAGGTTGTAGTACACTAATGCCAAGTTGTTATAACTTGTTGCTACATCGGAATGATCTTCACCAGAAACCTTTTTCCGAATCGTCAGTGCTTTTTCGTAAAGTTCTTTGGCTTGATTGTATTCTCCCAGGCTGTCGTACACTGATGCATCCTCGGAGATCCAGGGCCAGATGGTGGGGGCGAGGGAAAGTCTAAACGGGCGGAAAAATATGGCACGATGAAAAGTAAAGAACGGCGAGAAGAGCCCCTGGGGACAATGTCTTACCAGACCCATTCCAAACGGTCGCCACCGTTCTGCCTTCTGATTGGGCAGAAAAACACAAACGTTTTCTGGCACCAATAAGAAGTCAGAACGGCGGCGACCGTTTGGAACTGGTCTGGTAAGACATTGTCCCCAGGGGCTCTTCTCGCCGTTCTTTACTTTTCTTCGTGCCATATTTTCCCGCCCGTTTAGACTTTCTCTCGCCCCCACCATCTGGCCCTGGGTCTCCTAGGATGACACTGATACCCAGTTGTTATAACTTATTGCTACATCGGCATTATCTTCACCAAACGTCCTTTTGCGAATTGTCAGTGCTTTTTCGTGAAGTTCTTTGGCTTGATTGTGTTCTTTAAGGTTCTAGTAGAGTAATGCCAAGTTCTTCTAACTTGTTGCTACATCGGCATGATCTTCACCAAAAATCTTTTTGCGAATCGTCAGTGCTTTTTCGTAAAGTTGTTTGGCTTGATTGTATTCTCCCAGGTTTTTGTACACTAATGCCAAGTTGTTATAACTTGTTGCTACACTACCATGATCTTCACCAAAAATCTTTTTGTCAATCATCAGTGCTTTTTCCAGTAGTTCTTTGGCTTGATTGTATTCTCCCAGGATGCTGTACACTGATGCCAGGTTGTTATAAGTTGTTGCTACATCGGCATGATCTTCACCAAAAATCTTTTTGCGAATCATCAGTGCTTTTTCGTGAAGTTCTTTGGCTTGATTGTATTCTCCCAGGTTTTTGTACACTAATGCCAAGTTGTTATAACCTGTTGCTACACTGCCATGATCTTCACCAAAAATCTTTTTGTCAATCATCAGTGCTTTTTCGTGAAGTTCTTTGGCTTGCTTGTATTCTCCCAGGTTTTTGTAGACTGATGCCAAGTTGTTATAACGTGTTGCTACACTGCCATGATCTTCACCAAAAATCTTTTTGTCAATCATCAGTGCTTTTTCCAGTAGTTCTTTGGCTTGATTGTATTCTCCCAGGATGCTGTACACTGATGCCAGGTTGTTATAAGTTGTTGCTACATCGGCATGATCTTCACCAAAAATCTTTTTGTGAATCGTCAGTGCTTTTTCGTAAAGTTCTTTGGCTTGACTGTATTCTCCCAGGCTGTTGTACACTGATGCCAAGTCGGTTATAACTTGTTGCTACATCGGCATGATCTTCACCAAAAATCTTTTTGAGAATCGTCAGTGCTTTTTTGTGAAGTTCTTTGGCTTGGTTGTATTCTCCCAAGGTGTTGTACACTGATGCCAAGTTGTTATAAATTGTTGCTACATGGGCATGATCTTCACCAAAAATCGTTATGTAAATCACCAGTGCTTTTTCGTGAAGTTCTCGGGCTTGACTGTATTCTCCCAGGCTGTTGTACACTAATGCCAAGTTGTTATAACTTGTTGCTACATCGGCATGATCTTCACCAAAAATCTTTTTGCGAATCGTCATTGCTTTCTCGTGAAGTTCTTTGGCTTGATTGTATTCTTCCAGGTTGTAGTACACTAATGCCAAGTTGTTATAACTACTTGCTACATCGGCATGATCTTCACCAAAAATCTTTTTGCGAATCATCAGTGCTTTTTCGTGAAGTTCTTTGGCTTGATTATATTCTCCCAGTTCGTCGTACACTGATGCCAAGTTGTTATAACTTGCTTCTACATCGGAATGATCTTCACCAAAAATCTTTTTGCGAATCATCAGTGCTTTTTCGTGAAGTTCTTTGGCTTGATTGTATTCTTTCAGGTTGTAGTACACTAATGCCAAGTTGTTATAACTTGTTGCTACATCGGCATGATCTTCACCAAAAATCTTTTTGCGAATCATCAGTGCTTTTTCGTGAAGTTCTTTGGCTTGATTGTATTCTCCCAGGTTGTAGTACACTGATGCCAAGTTGTTATAACTTGTTGCTACATCGGCATGATCTTCACCAAAAATCTTTTGCGAATCATCAGTGCTTTTCGTTTTTTGGCTTGAAGTTTCTTTGGTACACTGATGCCAAGATTATATTCTTTCAGATCTTCACCAAAATTTTTTGCGAATCATCAGTGCTTTTTCGTGAAGTTCTTTGGTTTGATTGTATTCTTTCAGCTTGTAGTACACTGATGCCAAGTTGTTATAACGTTCTGCGACATCGGCATGATCTTCACCAAAAATCTTTTTGGAAATCATCAGTGCTTTTTCGTGAAGTTCTTTGGCTTAATTGTATTCTTTCAGGTTGTCGTACACTGCTGCCAAGTTGTTATAACTTGTTGCGACATTGGCATGATCTTCACCAAAAATCTTTTTGGAAATCATCAGTGCTTTTTCGTGAAGTTCTTTGGCTTGATTGTATTCTTTTAGGTTGTCGTACACTGCTGCCAAGTTGTTATAACTTGTTGCGACATCGGCATGATCTTCACCAAAAATCTTTTTGGAAATCATCAGTGCTTTTTCGTGAAGTTCTTTGGCTTGATTGTATTCTTTCAGGTTGAAGTACACTACTGCCAAGTTGTTATAACTTGTTGCGACATCGGCATGATCTTCACCAAAAATCTTTTTGGAAATCATCAGTGCTTTTTCGTGAAGTTCTTTGGCTTGATTGTATTCTTTCAGGTTGTAGTACACTAATGCCAAGTTGTTATAACTTGTTGCGACATCGGCATGATCTTCACCAAAAATCTTTTTGCGAATCGTCAGTGCTTTTTCGTGAAGTTCTTTGGCTTGATTGTATTCTTTCAGGTCTTTGTATACCACTCCACTCACGTTCAAAACCTTGCATTGAAGAGTTGCCGCACCCGTTGAAGTGTCGTCTAAGTTCCCCAGTAGATTGTGAGCTAAGTTGGCCACAATTTTCGCAAAGTAGAAATAGGAGCTTCTTTGACAGACCCAGGCGAGGGTATGTAGCCAATCAATAATTGTATTCAAATCTAAGAAGGGCGCAAACCTTTCTAAAAAAGTGGTTTGATCCAAACTAAACTCTGACGTCATCTGCTTAAGTAAAGATTCACAGTGGGGCCTCAGTTTTTTACAAAACGCATAATTCCCGTCATTTTCGTCAAGTTCAACCTTGAAAATCTTTACCGCTTCTGCCATGGTGTGGTCACTCTCAAATGATTTCAGGTAAGCTATCTCGCCTCTTTTCAAAGCTTCATGTACAACTTTGTGTAAACGTAAATAAGTTCGTTCACCCCTTCTTCGGAATGAACAAGACTTAAAGAGGACTTTACAATCTTTGCTTTCATTAAAACCTCTGGCTGGTCTTTTACTTGGGCTTTGACAAACTTTAAAACAGTTTCGAGTGGTAGGTCGTCGTTAGCGGAGACCGACAGAAAAGAGAATGTATGACGAAGAACCTCGTCTGTTTCAACAGCTCTCTGGATAGCCATTTCTACTGCGGCCATTGTTGTTTTAGCATAGGCTGAACTCTCATTAGCAAGGACAGTTTCGGTCGTTTTTCGCTGGCTGTATGTTGATATGTCTTGAAGGTATGCTTTCCAATCATATTTTGAATATCCACCTGTCACAACAGTTTGCACGTAATAAGCAGCAGCAGCTAAAGCCAGTGGCTGAAAATCGAGAAGTCGAGCGACATTTTCTGCTTCTACTGGCTCTGAAATTTGCGATACTGTTTCCAGCAATTCCACTGCCTCGTCGCGCCCCATTCCTTTGCTTAACGATTCATGATACGTGTGAGGAGCGTTTTGGGGAATTGTACCACTATCTTGAGTGGTAATCAGCACTTGCCCATGGCCCCATTCTTTACTGCCAGTTTGAGGAAGCAAGTCGCGGACTAAGCGTAAGTCAATCACATTGTCTGCTACTATCAACCATTTGGTAAACTTGCTGGTCTTCGTCATAATCAAGCGATGGAGCTGTTTAATTGCTTCAACAGGTTTCACAGTTTTTAAAGATTCTAAGCTTGTCAACGCGTATTCTGTTATCCCCAGGTGTCTTCCAAGGGTGAGGTAAGAGTCAACAAGTGTCTCAATGTTTTCTGTGTTCAGTGTCGCAGCAAAGATAAGATCATTGTTTTGTTCATAAAAGAGCTGTTGTCCAATTTCCCGGGCAAGTTGGGTCTTGCCACATCCTGGATTTCCTGACAAATACACTGTACTGACTGCTGCGCTGGAACTTTTGTAAAGTTCCTCCATTTTGTTAATGATTCTTTCAATATCATGCGAGCGCCTAATGATAACATGTGGTGGGCGCGATGCGAGAATGCAAAATGACTGAAGTTTCGAACTTATTTCCTGTGTAAGAGATTTGTTTTCTTCTTTTGTAGAAACCAGGGCAGCTTCTGTACTTTGAAGAGTGCTTTTTGTCTGATCTAACTCGGCTTGGAGATCACGAACTTGCTTCTTAATTTTTTCCACTTCGTTTGTTGGAAAGGTCGTCTGGTTCTTTATTTCTTGAATCTCAGTTATAGAAAGACCAAGGGAGGTAAAATCCTTCAACACTCTGTCTACAAAAGTTTGGAATTCGGCATCTGTCAACCTAGCCTCGGTGATATGAGCGATCGCGTTTCGCACCTGACGAACATCATCGACCAATTTACGGACAGTTGGACTTAAAGTGCTGCCAACAGTGTCTGAGTACAGGATGGCAAAAAACAAACAGGTGCAGTCCCACTTTGCCGTGTTACCATTGTGGATTGTTGCCAGACACCGGGCGTTTTTCTTGTGACTTGCTTTAGATTCATTGTTGAAGAAATCACGTCCATTTTGTGCCGTGTCTTTCCATTCTCCAATCGACATTGCTTTATAGAGGAAATCCCATTCCTTTTTGAAAATCTGCCGCAGTCCTGCTGGAACCAAATCAAATGCTATGTAGCAGAGTCTGAAGTAGTTAAGTTGCTCTTGCGAGTATTCCATCAGACCAACTTTCAATTCTGTGAAAGATATTTAATTTGTTTTTAACTTACTTTTAGTCAGATCAAAAGTAGGTTGTTTGCTTATTCATATTGAAAATGTGAACCAGAGACCTGTGATGAACACAGGAATCGCAAAAGATTATAAAAAGCTAGTAGCTAATTATAAACTCCGTTAAATAAGAGACGGCAGGCCAAATACACAACATGCTTTTCCGGTGTCTTGCTCATGACGTGCTTAAAAGATTTGTTAAATTAGTTTAAAGGGTAGGGAGGGGTGGGAGATAGACAGGGGGATGACTCATCCCCAGTCGTCTCTATTTGGAGAGCATACATGACTGAAGGGAGAGCGAGGGTTGATGGGAAGGAGGAAAACGAAAGGGAGAGACTGTCCCATCATCCCAAGTTTTCCGTCCGGGAGAAAGTTGCTGACGTATTGAGTACATCAATAATATCAAAAAGCGCGTTTTTCACGGGAGCAAATTATTAAATAAAATGTGCAAACGCATGTTAATTAAGCAAGAAACTGAATACCAGTTAATTGAACTATTTTTCTCTCTGTCACTTTTCCTAGTACTGTATTCTGGAGTAATTGTCATGAGATAGCGTCTATTAGACAAGTGGTGTTCATTAGTGAGAGGCGTCCAATACAAACCTAGAAGCGTGGGGGTAGGGGGGCGACGGTGCACAACAGGCGTTTATATGAGTGGAGGCGTCAATTAGATCATGAACTGATAAGTATGTTATCATTCAACGTCAGTATCTCCTGCTCCATTTTTAAAACCAGCCAGTGAAAACTAAAAGTCTATTTGAATCAATGCAGTACAATAATATATTTTTGTGTTCAAGGCCGTTTCGACTAGCGCTTGAATTAATTGGCAAGTTGAGGGTAACATATATTCTAGAAGTAAATATCACTAGAATAAATGAAGGATAAAAAGTAGGAGGGAGATAAATCCTGTTTGTTTGAAAATGATATGCAAGCATTGTTGACTCCAGAGCTCCCCCCTTGCCACCCCCCCCCCAAAAAAAACAGGCTATGGAGTAGAGTATGTAGGGTGGGGTTGTCACGGGTAGCACCACCGTCCCATAGACAGGAAAAGAGTGCGCGAAAAGAATGTCAGTTCAAAAAGTACATTTATCTCTTTCACTCCTAGACCGAGTCATCGGGGTCTGGAAGAGCGCCTACTCCTTTGTCACGAAAATCCCACATCCCGCATTTTTTTCATCTCTTTCCTGAAGCCCGTTTTTGTTTTCAAATTACATACGTTAAAAAAGAATAATTGCTTTGAAAACCAATAAATACAAGGTGTAGATTGGCCCTTTTCAATTGACATTTTGAATTTACGAGTGTTTTACGGCAGGAGCCCATCAAATGGAGCCTCCATCTCCCATACAAGCCCTTGGAGTCAACCCTTTCCCGAGTAGATTTATAATTAGAACGGTTCCCAGGGGAGACTTCGCGCGCCGACGGTGGGAAGAGCCAATCACAACGACGTAATGACACTGCTATTGTACTTTCTCAAACAGCAGGAAATTCGGTGTTGACAGGCCAAACACAATCATAAGCTAGTGAAACGTGACTTTAGCGTTTTCATCCCTCAGAGATTTTCTTTCTTTTCTTTTTAGCGGGTAGATTATACTGTGGAGAGTTTTAAACTCTTACTATGTTAATCTTAAGTTTGGTTACTTGTCTCACATTAAGAGGCCATAAAGCTGGTCTGTTACATGCGTAATGATTAACTACTACCTGCAGTCTGTGGTTCTGACAGGATTCGTTTTCTTTAGCCAATTTTTTTGAGCGTTAAGGTTTCTATGTCGGCTAAATGACTCAATATTAATCAAATTTCTAGTTTTTCAAGTTTTTTTTTCCAAAACGCCTTTATCCGAATAAATACTTGTAGTCCTTGTGGTTGTTTTGCCCGTCAGCTAGTGTGATGATTCCCCGGGGGGGGGGGTACTCCCTAATATGGGCTATATATGTATGTGCGGCCCCGAAGGGTAGGGTTTTTCAGCCGTTTTGGTCATAAATTGGGTATCGATTTTGGCTATTTTGTCGCCATTTTGGTCATAAATAGGGTAACGATTTTTGCACTGTAGTCTTGAATGCACTTTTTTAGAAGAAGCTACTTCCTTATCGTGTCCCCCTAACCTAATAAAAGCAGATAAACATTGCCTTTAACATTGGTCTGAACTAGGGAAATAATTATAAGGCAGGTCTGAAACAGGGTATTGATTTAAGGGTCAGGTCATAAATAGGGTATCAAATTTTTGGTTAGGTCATAAATAGGGTAGGGAAAATCGCAGATTTTGGTCATAAATAGGGTAAGGGTTTTGGGAAGCGGGCCGCACACCCCTACCCAATTTTTTTTGCAGTACCCCCGGGGATGATTCCCTGCTATGTTTTGTAACGCCGGGCCCAGCCATTGTTTCTCGCAAAAAAGTGATCTACAGCCGGGCGAATTCGAAGGAAAGAATTGGCCTAAACTTGTACATTAATTGCTGAGAATTGTCCTGTTAGTCAGTCATAATTCCAGTTTGGCGCAGATACAATCCATTTTGTTTTTCTTGAGATAAGAGGGTATTTGCACTGGAGCGCGATGTCACAAATTCCTCGTTAGCAAATTACTTTTGAGTTAGCTTCACGGTCGAGCAACTGTTGTCTTCTGTTCAACTTTTCAAGTGCCAGTTTTATCAGGCAACTTTCACGGTGATACAAGTCAGTTGTAAAGGAAGACTGCAATTTCTCAAATTTCGGAACTGAAGCATTCCTCCTTAGTTGTTAGATAGGTCATCGCTTTTGCACGCGGTGCTTAACTGGCGAAATCCACTCCACGGTGATGACAAAAATCAAATGATCATGCCCTGGCACTTTTTCTGCGCTGATCATCGAAAAGTTCCAAATCGTCCACAGAACGCTTAATATTGGTCGACTCTTTTCAAGGTGCATGTTTAAATGTGGGATGCATGACGGCAAAAAAAAAAAAAAACTCGCAAAGATAACCTTTCCGTGATCCTCAGTTCGCTGCCTTTGCCATCGCTTCATGCTCAGTCAGCGGGTAATTCATTAACTTATATTTCATGATACCCAGATCCCAGCGTTTGTAAAATTGTAAAAATGGACGTATAGTAAAAAAGGAAAACGGTCGAAGGATGGGCTTTTGGGTTCGACTTCATCCAACTTCATTTTTTCACGGTGACATACGAGACTCACGGAAATATGACGCTTTTCGTTCGCGGGAAACAAGCCGTTCTATTTATAAATTAATGGAGATGGAGGCTCCATTTGATGGGCTCCTGTTTACGGCCATTGCAAAAAAGAAATAGCTTTTCGTACCTCAGTTTGACAAAGCAGAGGGGAAAAAAGGAAAAAACGAGGAGGGAGAGAGAAAGGAGGAGGAGGATTTCTGCCCCCTCTCTCCCAACCCCGAACCTTCTCGCTGTTTTTTCTGCTCACTCTTTGCGCTGCCCCCGCCTGGAGCGGGCTATCCTGACACTAGAGGACTCAAGAAATAACGACACCAAAACTCCGACTGTCTTATGCAAGGAAGCAGAGCTGGGATCACCGTTCTGTTTGCTATATCTAAAGTTAAACTGATCAAATTATTTCTTCAAGACACAACAAATGTAAAGAGCTTGAGCATAAGCACTAAGTCATGTGTACTTTTCTGGCATCCGGTTGAAACAGTGGGTCCTCTGTCCGCTCGTCTGTTGATCATGGTTACTTGAGAGTTTCAATTAAATAATCACTACCTACATTACTTTATAGTTTGCTTTCATACTAGGAGACACTAGTGAACGCTCGCCTAATTGACTTCGCATTTGCCGCTAGAACTTACGATTTCCTGAATTCCCGACAGAAAATCCCGCATCCCCTGCCCAAATTCTGGTGAATCCCGCTTCCCGGGTAGAAGTCAAATCCCGTTTCCCGTCAAAAGATTTTGCGTTTTTCACGAATCCCTCACCTTATTTTGGTCAATTCCAGGATCCCGAAAATACTCTTCCAGACCCTAAGTAGTGGTGAGATTACCCGTCGTTTTTAATTTGTAGCTGTGGACTTTTTAATGGTGTACCCGCACCCACGCAGATGTTCTGAACGCGTGACGAAGCCCTAAGAACGCGAGTCTGCGTAGCTGAAGTGAGATTCGGGTCGTCGCTTAACTCTCCACCCGAAAAGCAACGAGAAACGACTGGAAATATATGTCCGCGTTCGCAGGCTTGTATGTCTAGTAATAGTTATACCATTCAAATGAAACCTCTCCCTCTCTGGCCGTTCTCTTTGGCGGAATTTTTATTAGCCACTTTTAGGACTGACAGGGACGAAATTTATGAATGATGAGCCAGACATCACAGCACACAAATAATTGCAAGTGATGATTTGGCAGTGTTCCAAACATGAATTGATCGTATTGATCGTGGACAACGATTGACCCACTGAGATCGACTTAGTTTTCAGGCTATGGGATGTTAACGACCCCTTTAGGCACCTATTCGAGCTGTTTTATTAGC